GAGCGATCGCGCCCTACTAGCGGCCATTTTTCGTGCTGCGTTCCACTCAGTGCTGCCAAATGGTACGGTCATGGTGGGGAAGTACGATAATTTAGTGGCAAGTACGATCCCCCATCAAACCCTTTGATGGGTCATGAAGAATACGATATTTTAATAGTAATAATTTATTTATTTTAAACATGGAAAAATTCAAAAATTAAATATTTAAAACAATTTTATCTTTTTTCGGCATAAGGTCGTTGCTCGTTGGCAATCGTCGGCTCGACTTCATAGTCCATATTTTATTGTACACGTTACCAGCTATGAAACCAATTATGATGGCTATAAATAAATATATAAATTATGGCTGTATTATTGTTCTGAGCCTTGAGGTATTATGTTCCTAGAACATTGTTGTGGCCGTTGTGGGTTTCTAAACTATTTATAAAATTGATTACCGATTAACTACTACGAAAAAAAAAAATATAATGTTTATTGTTATAGTTTAATATAGTGTATTAGTGTGTTATACGTAAATACGTTATAACATACGCGCGATTGTGAATTGTCGACGGTTCATATTATAATATTTAGTCTTCGGAGCACGTTGATTATATTATTTTGTTGTTTATGACCACTGGTTCGTTGTTTTTTATAATTATTTTTTGTTTTATTCAAATTTTATCGAATTGTCGTGATGAGTGGAAAGGAAAGTGACAGGTGTTCGACGCCAGAAAAAACTAAACGGAAACGAGGAGAAAGTTCCAAAACCTATTCTCACAAAAAACAAAACTTTAGACAAGAATGGTTAACAAATAAAGATTTTAGCAATTGGTTGTTGCCAGTTAATAATAATAAGTTATTAGCTAAGTGTAAGTTATGTATTACAGAAATGACTGCTGAATTGAGTGTACTTAAAAAACATGCTCAAACAAAAAAACACAAAAGTTCGATGAGTTCCATTGGTAGTAAACAAAATTCGATAAGTACATTTTTAAATAATACAGATCAATTTAAGTTAGCAGATCAAACTAAAAAAGCTGAAGTATTACTTTGTAGTTTTATAAGTGAACATAATTTACCATTCAATATTAGCGATCATTTGGTAAAAACATGTAAAGCAGCATTCCCGGACTCAAAAATTTGTTCAAATGTATCATTGGCTCGTACAAAATCAACAGCTCTTGTATCTAATGTTATTGGACATTATTCTCTTGAAGAACTTGTTAATGTTTTGCAAAACACAGTGTTTAGTGTGATAATTGATGAAAGCACTGATGTTGGCTGTGTGAAAACAATGTGCATATGTGTAAAGTATTTCGACAGTACATCCAATTTTTTCGAAACAAGATTTTTCAAGCTCGTCCAGTTGTTTGAGGATGTACAAAGTGCAGACAAAGGAGCTACTGGTCAAAAAATATTTGATGAAGTTCTTAAAGCTTTCACAGATTCTAAAATTTCGTTGGATAATTTAATCGGTAACTGAGTTGAAATTTTATTTAGAAACAACTTATTATTTATTAATTTTATTGTAATCACCTATTTACTTTATTTTTTGTAGGATTTGCTTCAGATGGTTGCAACACTATGTTTGGTGCATGTTTACGCCGATGGATGTAGCCGGCAACCGGTACAGAGTCGAGCGATAATCAATTGTGCACGACAACGCTGCGACTCGTTTTTCCTTATCTGTTTCTTCCTTCCTAATCTTCCGTCTGTGTGAATTTTAATTAGTATGTGTTCGTTGATTATTGTCTTATTTATTTATTATTATTATCTCTCGTTAATTTTGTATTATCTTTGTTAATGAATTATGCAGATTAGTGAATTATTCTACTTATTACATAACGGCCAACGCCCTTTATTATATTACGTATTTTATATTTATTACTTTTTTTTTCTTCTGTCTGTCGTTCGCTGTTCGCCACTAAGGCAACACATTGTTTTTTTTGTCGATATTTTTGTCGTTCATTTAGGACACAAAACATATATAGTTTTTTTATTATTTCATTTGTCGTACGTCATTTAGGCAACACCGCTTTTTATATACCTACTAAATCTTCGTTGTCGCGAACTTTTATCGCCGCGCAATTAATGCGGACGTTTATTAGTATTATTATTATTATTATTAGTGAAAAATCATAATAAATAAATCAAAAAATTACCATAACCAGATCTGCGTTGCGTGAGTTATTTAAATATTATTAGTACGTGTCACCTTTTGTTTTGTCACCTTTTCGTCGTGTCTCCATTGTGTGAGACCAGTCAATATTTTGGTCATCGTCGAAACACTTCGGTAGTGTCCGCCTTCACCTCTGCGTAAGTCCGCCAGCCACTGGGTGGTGTGTGAGGCCGCCACGGCCTTCGAGAGTTACCAGTTACCATTGCAGTTACCAAAGTCGTCACGTAGTTTAAGTTGTGATTTGAGTGTTTAGTTAGTAAGGTCTTTTTCCGATTTTGTGTGAACTCTGTGGTCATTGCACCAGACCGATTCGACCACAGAGACCTCCCCCCTTATAACTAAACTCAACTTCCCCTTTCCTGTGTTAGTGTTAGGTTGTCGTCATCCGTCCTGGTCGCGGTCGTCGTCGTGCACATTGGGTTGCCGACTCTGTACACTCACGGGCGGCACGACGTTGAGTTGCCTATACGGTAGGGATAAGGCGTTCATCATTTAATTAATTTTTTCGTTCTTGGTCATACCAAGTGGGCCCGTCGACTGTATGCGATTCATATCGAACAGTGCATCAAATTCTGTAACATCTAGACTAAATGAATTTTTGCCAGGTAATACATTAATTTATACTGCAATATGATGTAGATTTTAATATTCAAAAAATGTCCTGATTGTGCAGGGATTTATATTCAGAAATGTATTTGCCACTCGCTCCATTTATGCGCCAGTGCTGCATGCAAAGCTTTACCACGCACTTGTGAAGACCTTGCCAGGGACATTTATAATTATTTCAAATCAAGCTGTAAAAGAGTAAGTCAATTTAAGCAATTTCAAGACTTTTGCAATATATCACCTCACAAAATGTTAAGACCAGCACAGACCCGATGACTTTCATTGAGTATGGTAGTAAATAGAATAGTTGAGCAATGGCCTGCACTAAAATTATTTTTTTCATCCCATTGGCTTGAAGATAAACTCAAAGCTTCAGAAAACATTTTTCATGCTTTACATGATCCTTCTGTATTAATTTATTTTAAATTCCTACAATGGATCCTTCCAAAATTTGTAAACCTCAATAAACTGTTTCAGAGTGACAAACTAGTTATATGGTTGGTTTTTAGTAAAATGTCCGTAACTTATACTGATATTCTTTATTCGTATATGAGACTGTGTAACAATCCTTTATCAGTCGATCCAAACAATTACTCATACTTTCTACCATTAAACCAAATGTATTTAGGAATTGACGTTATGAATATGTTACAAACACCAGAAGTTGCAAAGAACCATGTTATGGTGCAAGATGTCTTAGAGCACTGCAGGAGATTTCTAATTATTAGTGTTAAGGAAATAAGAGCCCGATTCAATTTCAATGACCCAGTATTAATGCAATTGGAAAATATTACACCTTCAAAAGTCCTAAGCGATAAACGACCTGCTTCTCTAATTAGTTTTATTCAGTTATTCCCTAGAATTAAACAAAATCACCAAAATATTGATACCAGCTGGAGAATGTTCAGTGTTATAGAGTTTGGTCCCGAATTACATGCATTTCTTTTAAGTTTAAATGTTGAAGACTTTTGGATTAAACTTAAGGTATTTGAAAAAGATGGTGAATATCCATTTAAAGATGTTTCAATTTTTTTATTAACTGTTCTGTCTTTGCCTCAATCGAATGTGTCGTGTGAACGCATGTTTTCTAAAATTAATTTAATTAAAACCAAACAAAGAAACTGCTTAAACACCAAAACTTTAAAT